CTTGAATTAGCTATGCCTAATTATAAATTTAGTTTTTTGGTATTTTATACGAATTTAAAACTAAAATTTGGGTTAAAAATCAATGAGGGTGTCCGAGGTCGATGTTGGATGTTGGTGCTAGTGCCTATGAAAACCCTAGGCTAGTAGCGCACTAGTTGTGTGACGAGCTAAGCTAGCCACACACTCGGGCATGCGATAGGCCAAGCCTACTAGCTTGAATGTCACTTGCAAAGTGCACAATAGGGTAGGGCCGTGCACGAGGCAAGGAGGCCGTGCACCTGCATGCCAAGCGCTTGTGTGCCAAACATTGTTGGCCGTGCCCTTGCGTGAGGCGCACGGGCTAGGCACATGCATGCTAGTCCACACGTCGGGTGTTATAAGCCGGGCCCACACTCGAGGCATGCAGGCTAGGCATATGCGTGCTAGGTCGTAGGCCAACGGCTCACACGCTAGGTTGTTGGTTGTGGGTAGGCATACACGAGTGTGCCAAGATGAGGGCTTAGGCATCGAAGCTCGTGTGCCTTAGAGGCATAATAGCTTATGAGCCCCGTGTCCCGAAAAGTTTTGAAATTGAAATTTAGAAAAATTTTAATAAATTTATAAAATTACCAAAACATAGATTTATAATTAAGTTTTAAATGAAATGTGTTTCATTAGTATGCCGTGTGTCAATGTGTTTGAAGCATAGGTGAATGGTATGGATGAGTCGACCTAGTTTTAATAATGAATGTTTGTAATTTTTTAGATAAATAGAACCTACAAGTCCTCGCTTTTTCTATTACTCTATTGTATTTCTCTTTTCATCTTACTCTCCTCAAATGTAACTTGAGGTTTCTTATTCAAATAAATATAAAACTATAAGATAGGAATTAGAATAGATGCAGAAGATGGCAAAAAATGAAGACATTACTAAAGAATTTGTAATAATTTTTCACCTATGTATTTGACCCATCGCTCTCCTCGTGGCTCGAGAGGGCCGATTCTAGAGATCCATAACCATTCATCGATCCTTGTATCATGCATGAGATGTATATATATGATGATTAGTATGCATGTTAGGAATAATATGATCATTGATTAGTATGCATGCTATGATGAGACTAACCAAATTAAATCCTTCAAATAAATTATTAAGTTAATTGTCTTCCAATGTTATGAGGAGGGAACTCTCTTAGTTGTTGTTGCTTTGTTAAGATAACTTAAGGTCATTTCTTCCTCGAGGGAAACAAATCATAGGCCATACGATGTCCTTGAATGTTGGGTCTAACTTGAAATGAGTTATTAGGATTGTTGAGAAAACTCAAGGTTCAATAAACTTGTAGGCAAAGATTAGTATTCACATAAGATGCGATATGATAAGGAGTTATCATGTCAATGAGATTAAGAATTAATTAGATGTAATTAGTAAGGAGTTATCTACCTAATCCTTCATATGTGATTTATTGAGACAACTCAAGGTTAATGTATATTAGAAGATAGGATCCTAACCCACTATGAAAACGAATCAAAAAATTTTCTCGAGTCTCATATTATAAAGATTATAGAACTTGGAGAAAATAGTGAAAGCGAATATAGATTTTACTTTTTTAATTTATGCTTTTTTTGTTTTATGTAATTTAATTAACCAAATAGAACATTTTTCTATCCTGTCGGATTGCATAGTATGATTGGCAACTTTTCGATATGATCGATCATTAATGAAAGTAATGCCTTCAATGGCACAAACTAGGCATACTAGGCATGAGCACTATAAGATAACGAGAAAGCATTTTAGAGCGGAATGGATGAAGGATCTAACGACGAAAAGTATGTCACCGAAATAATAGGCTATATTCGACTAGCCGAGCTTGAAGTTGGAATGGATGCTGAATTATCCATTGACCTAGTATTATAATCATTTCCCAATAGCTTTGGATAGTTCATCATGAACTTCAACATGATGCACATGGAAAAGACTCTTAGAGAGTTTTTTTCCAAGCTAAGGGAAGCTCAGCCTAAAATTAATAAGAAGAACGAAAGTTCTATACTTCTTGTTAACAAGGAAAAGGGTGTAGTAAAAGGGTAAGAAAAAGCCTAAGAAGAAGAAGTCTTCAATCGTGCTTACTAGAAGAGTGAAAATGCTCGAGGCTTAAAATAGCCTAAAGGATGCGATCTACTTTCACTCGTAATAAGAAAGGGCATTGGAAGCATAACTATAAAGCGTACCTAGAAGGGGTACAAAAAAAGAGTTCTACCACCACTTCGGGTATTTATGTTATTAAAAGCCAATCCTATTATTTCTAATTCCGCCTCATGGGTCTATGTTGCTAAATGTTTTTATTTCTTATTTTGAATAAGTATTTCATTTTTAAGAATAATGGTTATTTTTGAAGATGACTTCTTATGAAAATATCTTGACAATAATTATATATGTTGAACATAACTCCCATATATATATATAATATAAATACTAAAAGAGTCAAATGAGCTAAATAACATAAATTTGTAGTAACATTAACTTAGCAATATAAACGAGAATCTCATATCCAATCTACTTATAAATAAATATCTAGAATCATTTGATGATATATAAGGAATCTTCTTTACTTGGCAAAGATACATGAATCCCCTTTTAGTGAAAAAGAAAAAATAGCTTCTAATAAGGCCTTACATATAGAGATGTATATAGGAACATGTTCACCCAAGCAAGAGGAAAACATGCTTATCACATAGCCTTTAATAATAGTAGATCATGTTTTAGTTATAAGACACAAACCTAAAGCATTTGAAAGGTTCAAAAGTTTAGACTTAAAAGGTCATGTGACAAACTAGTAAAAGTATTAAGGCATTTTAATTTGATTGAGGTAATGAATACTTAAATGCTAAAATTTTAGATCACCTAAAAGAGAATGAGATTCTCTATGGACAACACATGTAAGACATAGTTCGATCCATGATGAGTCGAATTAGTATCCTCATTTTATTTTGGGATAAACACTCCTTACTGCAACCTTTATAGTGAATAGGATTCTAATTAAATCTATTTAAATAAATCTCATATGAGATATGGAAAGGAAAGAAAATGAGTTTATCTTTCCTTAAGATTTAAGGCTATAAAATATGTGTCAAAAGGTTTGACAAAGACAAACTAAAGCCTAAATCAAAGAAGTGCTAATTTATGAGATATATAAAACAAACAAAAGGATGTCATTATCCTACCACTAGAATAAAGTGTTGTTCATGACTAGGCATGTTATGTTCTGCAGGAAGGAATTTATGGATGTTAGAAATAGTGAGAGGAAATTTGAACTTAATAAGATTTGAGTATACTCATAAATTGACATTTCACTAATAGAACCCTAAGTAGAAAGGTTGCAAAGTGTTATAACTATCCCACAAACGTAAACAGAGAACTTCATAAGTTTAAAGAACATTCATCAAAGGACAAAAGGATATGATCTTGTTGTCTCAACACATGATGATGTGTGCCCTAAAAGGGATGACGAAATTGACACTTATGAAATGGCAATGTTAGATATTGACTCTCGAAAAGGCAAGCGAAAAAGGTGGGTAGATTACACACCTTGATGTTTCTCAAGAAAATGAAAATAAGATTTACAAAATGCAAAAGTCCATTTATAGACTTGAGCATACGCTAGGAATTAGAGTCGACGTTTTAATGAAACAATCAAATAATTTGATTATTCACTAAAAATGAATATGAACCTTATGTATATAAAAGGTTCATAAGAGCCTATTAGTCATGATTCTTCAACATGAAAAGTTAAACAAACTACTCATTGGTAGTAATATTATCGTGTTGCAAACTACAAAGGATTAAGATATCTAAAAGTAATTTTCCAAGTAAGACATGAGAGAATAACCTATAGCCTAAGAGTATAGATCTATAGGGATAAATCACTTGAAATGTGATGAGTCTCCTAAGATAGATATAATGATATGATACTAAAAACTATAGTATGGAAGAATGAAAGAAAGATTTATTCTAATATCATATCGCTTCATGGCCAACAATAAAGGATCCATAGCGTAAGCTAAGGAACCAAGGTCTCATCAACGGTCCAAGCATGTACTACATTGCTACCATTTGATTATAGAGATAAATAGTCATGGCGACATATGGACTTCTTAGGTGTTTAAAATGATTTGATATTGAAAATGGTTTGACATGATTTTAAGAAAAGTTTGATAATGCATTTTGAATAAGTGTTTTACTTAAAGTTTGATTTAATGCTTTGGATTTAATTTCAAAAATGGTTTGATATGATTCTAAAAAAAGAAAAAAGAGGGATTTGATTATGTGTTTGAATAAGTGTTTTACTTAAGGTTTGATTTATGTCTATATATTTAATTACTAGTTTAATTTAGATTCTTGATTATGATTTTATTTGTCTAATTTAAATAAGTATTTTATTTATAATTTTGAATATGATTTTTTATTTAAGCTTAGACTTGATTATGAGATTGGATATTGAATGCATTGTCAAATTTAATTTTGAGCATGAATTGTATTTTGATATGTTGAATTTGGATATTTTTAGATTATGTATAAGTTTATTTGATTTTTAATTTGATTGAATACCACCGTGGGGCTACCTTGTGAGCTCATTAATATGTAATGCTCTAGCTAGCAGAGAGGTGTAATGATAGCTCGTGTGTTGACTAACATACAAAATCCTAGCTACGAGTAACGTAGTCTTTAGTTGTTTGCAACCAATGATACGTTATGTTTATTTCACCACGAGTATAAATTTAGATATTTAATTTGATTTATTATTTTATGTATAGATTTTGATGCTTGATATAAGTTGTATTGATTATAAATAATTTGATATGTGATTTTGATTATAAGTTTTTCGATTTGAATTTGAATTTGAATTATTTAAAGATATGATACATGCATGTTTATAGACAAGCACTCAATATAGTAATGTACTCAACTTTCATTGAAGGGTTCTACCAATTGGGTAATCTTGATGAGGGATTGGCATTGTTATAAGAGATACAACGGAGTGGTTTGAAGCTTAACTTGGTGATCTACAATATCCTTATTGATGGAATGTGCAAGTTTGGGAAGATTCAAGATTCAAAGGAACTATTTTCCGGATTGCCTAATAAAGGGTTTCAGCCTAATGTTTATACATACGACTCATTAATTGATGGACCCCTCCGGTTGCTCCATGTAGATTTTCTCTTCTAAGTCACCATCTAAAAATGCTATCTCGACATCCATTGGTTTAAATTTCAAGTCTAGACTTGCTATTAGGTTGAGAATAACTTGAAGAGATGACATCTTCGACATTGAAGAAAATATCTCCTCAAAATCAATACCTCTTTCTTTATTGAAACCCTTCACCACTAATCTTGCTTTGAATCAACAATGTATGGTGTGTTCTTTATACTTGATTCTAAACACCCACTTAGGTTTCAAAGCTCTTCTACCATTGGATAGTCTCACCAATTCAAAGCTATTTTTTGCATGTAAAGACTTCATCTTATCTTTCATAGCTTTAATCCACTTCTTTTTGTTCTCATCTTCTATTACTTCTTTATAGGATTCGGGTTCTCCACTATCGATCAACAACACATACTCATCGGTAAAGTACCTTGTAGAAGGTCTTCGATCTCTATTACATCATTTGAGTGAAGTTTCGATGGAACATGTTCATCATCTTATTCAACTACCTAATCCTAGTTATCATTTGATGCATCATCATGAGTTCAATTCGTTGTTTTATAGATCATTATCATTATATGATCCCTACTTAGTCCGTGAATCATCATAGGCCATGAACTAGATTAGAATCATTCTAAATAAGTACATAATAAGTGATCCCATTTTTTGCATCGGGTCCGGGTAGAGACTAAAGGTCTTAAGTAATCGATCTAGTAGAATAACTCAAAAGATAAAGAAGTATCGTTAATTTCTTCATGCTCGTTCCAAGTTCGAAGTACCATTTGTACAAATAAGAATCCCCTTCGTTACATGATTTCTTCTTCATATAGATAGATATAGGATCTATGGGGCAATTACTTAGAAATACATTTTGTGCAACAGCCCTTCCTATCTGATAGAAAAGGATCCCATAATCCTGAATCGATCTTACTTGGGATCGTAAATCTCAAGTTTATCTATGAAGAAGCAGATTGAATTATATTAGGGTTTAAAATTGATTTTTTTTTCTATAATACTAATCGATAGGGCCTTATTGATAAGTGTTACAAGATCTCGTATATGGTTACGGACCCGAATCTTTTAGTATGGAACATTTTCTTTTCCAAGTGAAATCCCCTACTATATGAAAGAGTGAAAACGTGCTTTCGTTGTTGTGGAATAAGAAGCCTTCGTATCTTAATGCATGTATTTAATTTATTCGGAGCTATTAGAGCGGGATCCACTTTTTGGGGAATATGAGTCGAAAGCAATAACAAGAATATTTCTAGTGGAACATCTTTCACAATCCCTGGAGAGATAGTTCACTAATAGACCGAGGGATAAGTAATTTAACTCATTCACATCTAGATCATGAATGTTTGGAATCCCTATTATGCAAGGAGACATTGCTTTAGCTAATTCAAATTGAAGGGTGACATGTTTAAGAAAAAATTAGGAAATAGGCAAAAACAACTAAAGTTGCCACCTAGTATCATGGTTACTAGGAAACCATGTGATTGGTCCATTTAGAGTTTTGGATAAGGGATTTATTATGTGTAAGGAAGATTAAAAATCACTCTACTCCATCCTACCTAAGGCAAGCTACATTGCATACAATATTAAATTAATTTATGATGTTTTTAATAATGAAAGTTTATAGATATTTTCAAACATTTTCCCATCAATCGAGTGATTTGGGATTTAGTCGATCAACGACCTCATCCTCACTCTGTAATGAATTGCTAAGAAAATGAAAATGACATGATAAATGCAATGATATGTGGCTAATTTGATCTAAATAGCATACAAGAAAACAAGTTTTAAAAATTAGCAAATAGGTAGAAAAGGCAAGATAGACGAATAAGCAAAAATACGCAAATAAGCAATATAGGAAAAAAATAGATAAATTGGCAAAATCAACAAATAAGCAATCAGGAAAAATAAGCAAAATTGATAAATCCAAAAATATATCCAATCACGAGTACAATTGAATAATTAATGAAATCAAGGTTGTTGAGATGGAGTCACCGTTTTGAAGAATCTAATGATACAAAATGGTCAAATAATCATTAATATCACATATCAAAAAATAATTCAAAACAAATGAGTTACCCAAGAAAGTGAAATACAAGATAATTTATAAGAGTGAAATTGATTGATAAGATTCAAATCGATGATTTTAACTAAACTCTTGCTCTCTTAACTGATTTTAGATAATTACCCAACTATATTCGAAGTTCACTCTATAATCTTTCTTTAACAATCTCATTTCCACTTTAATACAACCAATTTCCATCATCAATTTCAATTATCCACTATTCATCATCTTCAACCTTTTAAAATTTCATATCTTACAATTCATCATCTTCAACTAACTTGAAAATTTCTTAAAGCCATATTCAAATAATCAATTTCACACCATTAATATCACCCATTGAGCTAGTACATTCAAATGTGTGTGGTTCTATGAAGACAATGTCAAAAAGTGGTTCCTATTACTTTATGACTTTTATAAATGATTACTCAAGGAAGGTATGGATTTATACATTGAGATTGAAAAATCAAGTTCTTGGTGTTTTCAAGCAGTTTCAAGCTTTGGTAGAGAGACAAATTGAGGGAAAGCTTAAGTGTATTTGAATAGACAATGATGGTGAATATTTTGGCCCTTTTGATGAGCACTGCTGGACTCAAGGCATTAACATCAAAAGACTCCACCAAAGACATCTTAGTTGAACGGGTTGGCTGAAAAGATAAATAAGACCGTTTCCATCTTTGCCTCATCCTTTAATATCGGAGGATTTTCCAACCTTTGGACCCTCAATGACCACAAAGTAAGAATATTTTCAACATCATTCTTACCTCTTCACTTTTCAATTTTGGCAACCTCTTGAGGTGAACCTCCACAATGGCTTTCTAATAACATTTATCTACCAATGGAGCTTTCATTAGGAGGCCAAGTACAATTGTAGAACATATTTTTTTTCACCTTCATAATAAAGTTGGAAGGGATGTTATGATGCAAATGCTTTAAGAGAGAGGAAAGACACATGGAAAAATGGCTCTTTGAAATTTTACATTCTCTCTTTCTCGATTTTGCTTTCACAATTTTTCTACCTTTCTACATAAATAACTCATTATATTCTTTAGCTTCATTGACTATCCGATTTCTCATCTCCTCTCATTTCTCCTCTTCCTCCCGGGTGGATTGTATTCGACTCGCAAAAACTATCAAGATACTAGAATACGTGAAATTTTATTCATAGACATATTTGATGCCTTTATTTATAATCAATACATAAGAAGAAGAATAACATGGTTACCGAAAGTGCTTTCAACTTTAAATGCATCCACATTTGATGATCAAGCAAAACCTACAAACTAAACATCATCTAATACCGCATTAATAATTCACCATATCATCGATAGCTAGCTAGTTGAAGCTAATTGCAATTTCTTATATGTTCATTTTCGTTTTTTCCGTGGTGTAATGCAATGGTTTCATTTTTTTAATGCAACAATTTTTCTATATAAAAAGCAACCCTTTCTATCTCTAATGTAACGGTTATTCATAGTAATACAACGATTTATAAAACTATTTAATACAATAATTTACAATATTATTCCAAGCAGCTTTTTTTCCAATTACAACATATTTAATTAAATGATTGTGATGTATTTATAATAATTTTAAAAAAATAATTTCAAATATTAATTAATAATGAGAAAGTAATAATCTAAGCAGTTTCTTAGCATAATTGTACAAAATTAAGTAACCGATTACAAGAAAAATAATAATCCAAATATCTAAAAAAAATTTAAAAACACAAAAAAAATCAAATAATAAAAATTAAATTCAAAGTTCCTACTAGACAAATTTAGTAGTTGATTTTCAAATTCAAATAGTTAATAACACTAGCCAACTCTGTAATTTTAGGGGAAAAAAGATTTATTAGCAAAGAAATACGAGTAATTGCAATAATTGAACTTGTGTTTTTATCAAATAACCAATATAAAAATTAGTAATACCTCAAGATTATGATTGCCTCCCGATGAATGTGAATTCCTTATTTGATTCCTTATATTTGGGGCACTATTAACATCTTCTAGGGATTGAGTAGTTACGACTAATATCTTTAACATCTCCAGATTCGCAGAGACAAATAGAGCTTTTGCACATTTTCGTTAATCCATGAACATGATCTATATCTATATAGACATATAGACCCACGGAGCCATATATCTCGATCAAAAAGGAATCAATAGAAAACAAAAGAATCGAAATTGATCGTTATATTTCTCGAAACAAACAAAAAGGAAACAAAAGATGAAACATAAATCATGGATCAATTAAGCCCTCTCGGAGACTTGCTTAAGAATAAGAAAGAGGTAAATACCATGGAATAAGGTTTGATCCTATTTATGGGGATTCCGTAAATATTCCATTCCCAAAAAAAAAGAGAAAGTTCGAAACAATTGGGATTTTTTTGGAGATTGGATGCAGTTACTAATTCATGATCTGGCATGTACAGAATGAAAACTTCATTCTCGATTCTACGAGAACTTTTATGAAAGCCTTTCATTTGCTTCTCTTCGATCGAAGTTTTATTTTCCTATAATGTATCCTAATTTTTGGCCTAATTATTCTTCTAATGATCGATTCAACCTCTAATCAAAAAGATATGTGTTGGTTATATTCCTATAATGTATCCTAATTTTTGCAAACTTTCCCTTAGACTTGCTTCGCCCTTGCCTCTACCTTTTAGACTCTTACTTTTACTCTTCCTCCTTTGTACAATAATAGCACATCGACTATGAAGAAGAATTTTGAGTCTTTTTTTTAATCTCTTCATTGAGAACCCCATTTTTTAGCATAGGTCAAGGTCATCTTTCCATCGGGAGTAGAATTGCGAGTGTGAAGTATGAAATGTCTCGTAAGAATTCGATAATGAGCCAAGCAAATATAACCCAAGGACCTCATCATCAATTTTTTTTTTATGGCTTTCATTTATTGAACAAT